GTTTCATATATATATATGTATATATATATATATATATATATATATGTATATATATATATATATATATATATATATGTATATATACAAGGTAGCCTACGGTTTTCCAGCCAAGAAATCAAATATTTCCATAAAAGATATCCATCCAAGCAAAATGGGTTGCAAAACGGCCCTCGTCCCCCACCCCCTGTGTACATGCACACCTTGCCTCTGGAAAAATGGCAGGGAAACATACTGCCCGTGGTGATTTTGACTCAAGTGTCCAAGGGCCAAGGGCATTGTTAGACACTCCTCGAGGACACGATTCCAAGGATTTCGTTGTCGTTCCACCTGTCCTCGAAGCCGATTTTCGAAAAGTAAAAGTGAAAACACTCCAAGGACAAATCCTCGGGCTCCAAGGATTTCCCAGGGAAATTGTCCTCAGCTCCAACCTCACGAGGTCCTTTGGACACCAAGGGTCCGTGATTCACGGGGTGTTGGCGTCGAGCGTAGAAGGAAAATTGGAGGCCGAACTTAAAGGGGGTCGACGGGTCGGGCGACGGACAGTGGACGTCGTCCAACGGCCTCGTCCATTTGTCGTTGGCGGTTGATGGCGGTGCGGGGGGCGCGTCATTTTCAGCCGCCTCGTTTGGGGTCTGTGGCGCTTCGCTGGGGTCTCCAACGGTCGTTAATGTTACATTTGTGGTCATGGTGGCAAGTGGTATGTGAACGACAGTGCTTACTCTTGGAGGGTTTTTGACTATCGGGCGTCGTCACAGTGTGTGCAAATTCCACAAGATTCATGCCCACGCTATCCTCTCTCCTGTGTCGTTCATGGCCGACCTGCACTGCAGACTGGCTGAGGCTGCCACTGCTGCTTTTCTGGTGGTTGATATGTTTCAGTTGTGTTTCCTGTGATAACTTCCAGAGACGAAACCAGACGAGGCTGTCGTCGAAGAAGGCGAGCAGGATGGACAAACAGCTAACGAACAGTAGTGTTGCCGTGGAAGCACGCAGGCGGTCACCGGGTCATTGCACACCCTCATATCTTCGCATTTCCTACCCTTTCTCCCTTTCATCCACCATCTTGGCATTGCTCGAGGGAGCACACCGGAGCCCAATGCAACACAATGTTGACCGACAGGCTCAAAAGTTGCCACACAGTCTGGGGCATCGACCACTCTCTGTATCATCATCCTTTGTGTGCACCTCAATAGCTTCGCCTTCACGCGGCTGGACGCTGTGTCTACCTCAGTGCCGTCACCCTGAACGTGAACGGCGCCGGTCACTTGAACGTGACCAGCCGTTCATGTGGTTTTTTTTTTTGGGAACGGCCGTTCACGGTGAACGGGCAGACCATGAAAGAGTGGTTTTTTTTTTTTTTTTTTTTTTTAGGTCTCACCCAGCAAAGGTCACCTCAAGCCCCATAGCGTGATGACATTGAAAAAAAAAAAAAAAACCCCTATAAAATAACAAATGAAAATGCTTATTTTGGCTGGTTGATTTTTTTTTCCCATTTTTAATTAAAAAATATATATATTATTTAAAAAAAAAAAATTGAAAAACTTATGGGGGTTACCCTTCGATGACCCCCMCCCCCCCCCCMARCCAAAAAAAAAAAAAAAAAAACCGTGAACTCCAAGAACTCCCATGTCGTGAACTCCATCACCGGTTTCGGTTCACAGACCCCATGAACGGTGAACGGGGGTACGACACTGGTCTACCTAACAATGGCCAATGATGGCCAGCCCCGCCGCCACCACCGCCGTCTTCTCAATAGAAGTCAACACCACACACCCATCTCCCCCACCATCCTCCACTGCCCACGGACTTAGAAAAGACGTGGTCACCCGCAAGTCTGCTGCCTCCCTCCCGATTTACCCGTGTCCTCAGTGTCCACGTCCACGTGCCACGTCGGCTGCACTTTACGCGTCCTGTGGGTGACCGAAACAGATGATGACACAACGGAGGTCGCCCACCGAGGCTCACGCTCCAAGCTGCCACACGTTGTCACTCAAGGAGCCCACCTGACGACGGACCTCTTCGCCGATCACACCTTCCACCACACACTGTGTGGCATCGTTGTCACTCAACGAGGCGAGAAGGAGATGGGGTGAAAGGGATGGCGAGGAAAACATCATATCCACTGCCTAACCGCCATGCTGGGAATGCCGATGTGCAGCCTAGTCGTCGTCCCTCGCCGGAACTCAAATTTTGAATTTTGGATAGGGCCATGCCCACCTTTTTATCTTGTTGTTTTCCTCCCCACCACGTATTCACGCCCGTCACCTGTGGACCAACACACCTCTTCAAAGGACATCCCAAACCACACCACGATCACACCTCCCACGGCCGCGTATAATCGTATAAAATTGGTCGTGGGAAGTCCCCGAGGAGTCGTCCGTGGAGCCATTCCCCAAGGATAGGTGGAACACCGCCGCAAAAATTCCCTATGGATAGGTGGAACCCCGCCGCCAAAATTCGAAAATATCCCCGAGGATTCATCCTCTGAGCCCGAGGACATCCTGAGGAGTGTCTAACCAAGCCCCAAGTCCCACTAGCGGGCAGAAAAGTATAGGAAGGAGGACTATTGGTGTGTCTGACACTATGTTCAGCTGCAGATAGAAAAAGGATTGGACCATCCTAATTTTGTTGCCGTGCAAATAGTATGTCCCTAGATCTTTCTCACCCTCTCATTGGCCATCAACTCTGCTAGGTATTCAGCTAGGTATTCTTTCTCATCCTTGGAGGAGCTTTCATTAGTGGCCGGTGTTTTGATGGGTCAGGAATGAACACAAGTTCGAAAATTGGACCTTGGTAAGGACCAGAATTGAAAAAGAATGGTGAGAAGAGTGTGTCAGTCTGACCAGACTGCTCTCTCTCTCTCTCTCTCTCTCTCTCTCTCTCTCTCTCTCTCTCTCTCTCTCTCTCTCTCTCTCTTTGTGTCTGTGTGTGCGTGTGTGTGTGTGTCTGTGTGTGTGTGTGTGTGTCTGTGTGCACACACGCACATGTTATATCCGTAGACGTCCACTCCACAGCCTTAGGCGCTTCTCACGGCATAGACCAAAGGCAAAAACTATGGGGATGTATTTTCCACAATTGGTGAGGTGAAACTGTGAAACAACGCCCACTGAAGGCTTTAGACTTAGAATTTAGACTTAGAATTTCCAGGTTTGGGCCCCGGTTGGACCAACATCTTACTGTTCCCTTCGGGACCCGGCTATTTTGTTCTAGCCTATTTTGTTCTAGCCTATGTCTGACTAGCTTTACTCAGTTTCCTTTAAGTAGCTGAGCTGTAGCCTTCTATTTCTATCTCACCAGCGCTCACCCCTGATGATGGCCGGTGTCTGGCGGCCCGGCCGAAACACGTGTAGGGTACTTTCCGCCAGTTGGGTAATTTCCGCCAGTTGTGCTTCAGGTTCATAACGCTCGGCACTTTCCGTGCTCTGTGTCAATTTCGCTGTGCTTTATTGTTTATCTTAATCCGATTGATGCGCTCGGGGTTTCTTTCTTTTCTTTCCTTCTGTTTCTTTCCTTCTTTCTACTTCCTTTTTGTCTTGTCTTGTATCTCTGCATCTGAGTGCTTGCACTTATGCCATGTATGTTGCTAATCTGTAACATGCACGTAAAGAACCGTTGGGGAGACTTTCACCCCATACGTGTGACTATGATCTTCCCCTCTTCCCCTCTTCACTTCATTTCATTTCGTGGCTTACGATCCCATGGTCGTGGGTTCTTTCCCTTTTCTCTACGATCACATGATCATAGGGTCCCTCTCCCCCCTTTCTCCTTTACGTCTTTTTCTTCTTCTTCTTCTTTTTCTTCTTCTTTCCGCCCCGGTTCTGTTTCGCTGGCGTTGATTGAGAAGGACTGTTAGGGCCTGTTGGCTCGCCTATCTTGGTTACCGTTCGTTGCTGAGACGATCATAGTCTAGCGTTTGGGATGTATCGATCCGGTGTTTGCCACTGTTGTCAGCTGCCAGACCACTTTATCCGCGAATGTCCATTTCGGAATTGTCCACGTGGAGAGGAGATGGCTGCTAGCATCCAAGGTGTATTGGGGAATGGTTCGAGTGGATTGTTGCTGGCACCTTCGTCCTCTTCAGCTCAGGTTGCTAATTCGACGGGCACCTCCAATGCTATTGTGCCCTACCGGGCTCCAGTGAGTAAAGGATTTAACAACGATGGAGGATACAACGGAGGCAATAACGGTGGGTTTCGCAACTTTCAGAATGATCGAGGGCAGCGTTACTCGAAGCCATGGGGAGGTGGATTTAGGGATCGTGATGATCGCTTTGATAAGATCTACGGTCTACTTGCGGAGCAGGCAGAGGAGCGCGAGCAGTGTAAGCAAGAGCTCGCCAAGCTGGAGTTGCTCGAAGCTGAGAAAAAGAAGTTGCAAGTCGAGGAAGAGAAGTGCGCGCGAGATAGGAAGGAGAGGGAATTACAGGAAGCAAGATTAGGAAAGATTGTTAAGTCTAGCATGAAAGCTGTATGCGAGTCTGTGTTAGGAAAGAAGGTGGAGATCCCGGATGATGACGAATCCGAAGTTAGTAAAATTAGACGTGAGTTAGAAGATCTGAAATCAAGATGTGCTAATGGTAAGAAGGATTCAGCAATTGATGCGTTGCGCAAGGAGAAGGAGGCTCTCCAAATGGCGCAGAACCAGAGTAGTGAGGAGGCTACGCTGAGGAGGGAGATTGAGGAGCTCAAGCTCCGAAATGAGAAAAGGAAATTGGGAGAGGAATCGGACGAGATCGTTGTTTTGCGTATGCAAATGCAGGAGTTGGAGAAGGTCCGTGTCGTTCTTGATGACCGAAGCGGCGAGCTCAGCGCGCTCAAGTCTGAAAACCTTCATCTTAAGAAGGACGTCCTGGACTTGAAGGGAGTGGTTGATGAGATCAAGGGTTCCGGGAAGCGGTCAGTGGAGGAAGTAGCTACGAAGAGTCCACCGATTGAGCCTACCAAGGGCAAGCAACGGATGGTTCCAATCGGAGCTGATGTCTACACTCCGAAGGATCTTGAAGCTTTGCATAAGCTGTACAAAGAAGCGCTTGAGGGGAAGGAGGCTGCGGACAAGAAATCACAAGCTCTCAAAGAGCGTATGGCCAGGATGGGCGCTCAGATGCTCAGTAAGCAGAGGACTTCTATCCGCAGAACTCTTGTACGGAAAACTACTCCGCGCAACCTCAAGCCTGTCCTGAACGCTGTACGAGTCGATGATTCCGATGCTGATGATGATCCGGAGGAACCAAGGAAGACCAAGGCTATCGAGGAGGTTCAGGGTGATTCAGTGCAGGAGCAGCTGGGCTGGTATCAGGAACAATGCAAAAAAGAGCTTCGTCCTGCAAAGAAGGCGGATATGCAAAACTCTGTGAAGAGGAAGGCATTACATACATCAAGCTCGATCAATCTAAGGCTGACGTGGCTGAAATCAGAGCCAGAAGAATGTTTGTCGAATGGCTGAAGTCTCGAGGGGTGCAGGATGATGACGATGAGGACGCAGACGTGCACTATGCTACCTCTACAGAAGATGCTACCGGCGAGTGAGGAGACGCCCTGAGCATATCTTCTCTCTGGGAAGTAGCGCAGTTTTTTCGAGACTATCGTAAGAACCTTCCAGGATTTGAGATTTCATATTTGTTTCGATTGGTTGTTATCTTGTTGATTATTTATGATGAGATTCATTGGGGTATTAAATTTTGGAATTCATTATTAAGTCTGTTAAGTAGCGGCTATGATTTTCGTGTCTGTCCTGGGCCTGCTGTGTATATTCTTATTTCACCTCGGCACAGACATTTCTATGTTGGTTGTACTTCTAGATCTGTATCTACTCGCTGGAATGAACATATCGCCTGTACGCTTTCCCCTCGTCTATCCAATCGTAATAGGAAATTGTATCGTTGGTTTCGTAGGTATGAGGTCCTTGATTATATCGTCATTCCCATCTTCTTTGTCGATAACACCAATGACCTTCTTTCTACTGAGAAATTCTTTATCCGTACTACTTCTCCCTCTCTTAATTCCGTCCAGCCTCGTCTGCACTATAGGAGACGCCGCCGACCCGGTTAAAAATGAAAGAATTCGTCGCCGCGCTCGTAATGCTCTTGTCGCCAGTACTCCTTCTTTCAAATCTGGGCTTCAACCCTTCGTATTCTCCTCTTCCCTTGGCCACACCACTACTAGACTCACCAACATCTTGCGCGAAGTCTCACTTTCCAAGCCCCCCCCGCCCTTTTCTATTCGTATTCTTTCTGGCGATCACTTCTCGTAGAATTGGAAACTCATCCGTCACCTCTTCGGTTCTCCCGCTGTGTCCTCGACTTCCCTTCCCACTTCGCTGCTAAAAAATAGTAGGTCTTGGTTTAAATATGGCTCCACCATCACCTTTCATACCGTCACCCTCTTCTGTGCTCGTTCCTTACCCGCTAAGAGTAATCTTATTCGCCTTCTCAACCAACCTCAATCTAGGCGTGATCTTTCGTCCTATAGTCTCAACGATTTAGTCTCCTCCTACGATTCTGTCCGAGCTATCTCTAACAAGCGGTCTCGCACCACCCTCCGTCTTATTCTCTCCCAAGCCTGCCGTCGCAAATTCAACCTTTGTCTTTCTGCCCGCTTGACAATCCGTATCACCTACGATTCTCATTTGGTAAAATCGGCTATTAGGGATGTATGTAAGCAATGTATCTTGAGTTTCAACCTTCCCTCCCCTTATCTTCGTTCTGTTTGTTCTCGTTTCCGAGTAGTGTGGATGAAAAATAAATCCGTGGTGGATATTCTTCATAATTTTAGGCATTTCGCTGCCATTCCCGACAGTAGATGCACCTGTTCCGAGGTTAGTTCGAAATTTCCACGGGTGGATGGGCATGTCGCCTTTCGTTTTAGTAAGGTCGATTTTCTTCCCCACTGTATGCTGAACTCCAAAAATATTGTGAGCCCGGACTATAGGACTAACCTTGGTGCATTGGGGTTACAAGTTGTCAAATCACTGCAACAATTCTTTGGTATTTCGGATGGGATTTCGCTCTCAGGCCTTGCTGGATGCTTCACGACTGGAACTTTGGATTGTATTAATGAGAAGGATATTAGGAAATTGATGGGGTTGTTTGACGGACTAGTCCGTGTTCCCTTGGATCACAATGCTGGTGACACGTACGCTTGTTGTCCTCTAATCTATACTGGAGGCGTTCGTAAGCTGTTTTTTGATAACCCGGGACTGCAGACTGTAACGGAGGATGAAGATGCTATTCTTCAATGCTGCAAGGAAGACTACAAAAGATTTAAATGACAACAGTTGGCTCCCTGGGTGTCCTCGGGCAAGTTAGGTAGAGCATATGTTATACCGAAGCATAAGGATACCAATAAATGGCGTCCTATCTGCCCCTCCTGGAGTGAACCCTCTCGTAAGTCTGCCCGCATCTCTGCCCTCTGTGTCAATGAATTTCTCAAGAGACTTCCCCGTGCCTGCCATTTCAATCTACGAAGCACCTCTTTGCTCCCTTCCTTTCTCGCTAGGATTAATAAGAGCATTGAAAAGGATGATGAGCTGCTCGCATGTAGCTTTGACGTGAAGGAGATGTTCTGTCAACTTCCTCACTCCTCCATCATTTCTGCTGTAGAATGGGCAATTAGTACCTTTGAAGATAAAGGTTTTTTTAAATGTTTGGTCAATGTTCGAGGTAAAACGGTTAGATTTTGTAAAGTCGCCTGTACCGAGGTAGGATTCAAATCTGTCAAGTTTTCCCTTCTTCTACGGTTTATCGCCTTCGACCTTGAACGAACCTACACAATGTCTATGGGTAAGGTAGTTAAGCAAAATTTAGGAATTCCGATGGGCAAATCGTCAAGTCCAGCTCTTGCATGTTTGTTGTGTGTATATAATGAGTTTACCTTTTTACGAAGTCTTGGGAACGATGCTCGACTGGTGTTTGGGTGTCGACTGGTTGATGATGTATCATTATTCGTTAAATACAACAGAAAGTCGCCTAGATCTCAATCTGTCGCCGCCTCGATTTTTCACAGTTTTGGCACAGGATGCTACGATAAGCATTTGGTATTGGAGAAGACCAGTAAAGGTAATCAATGGCCTTACCTTGGTTGCAAATTGCATGTAGGAACTGATCCAGCCCGAGTCTATTGCCAAGCCACGCACAAGAACCAGGAGCACTTATTAGATGGCGAAGGTTTAATTTTCCAGAATCTGCAAGACTTCCACTCCTTCACGAGTAAGAAGCAGAAACTTGCCGTGATTTCGTCCTTTCTGCATAGGGCATATGCTTTGGGCACTTTCCCTGCCGCTGAAGCCTCTTTTTTGTTCACGCTAAAAATGGAGTTGAGACGCAGGGATTTTCCCGATTGCTTCTTTGACAAAGCACTGATCAATTTTAAGGTACGTATTGGTGGTGCTTGGACCAGGTGGGTTGCGTGCTTCACGAATTGGGCATAGTCTGTAGGGCCTTTTGGCTTTTTGGCTTTTTCGCCTTTGTCTCTGTTTCCGGTTGCAGATGTCTGTCAGTTGGCCCGGACAGGGTTTGACCGGCCCTGGTTTGACCGGTTCTGGCTTTAAACCGGTTCTGTTTTGAAACAGGTTCTGGTAGTAGGATACTGAAGGTTTTAGACTTAGAATTTAGACTTAGAATTTCCAGGTTTGGGCCCCGGTTGGACCAACATCTTACTGGCCCCTTCGGGACCCAGCTATTTTGTTCTAGCCTATGTCTGACTAGCTTCACTCAGTTTCCTTTAAGTAGATGAGCTGTAGCCTTCTATTTCTATCTCACCAGCGCTCACCCCTGATGATGGCCGGTGTCTGGCGGCCCGGCCGAAACACGTGTAGGGTACTTTCCGCCAGTTGGGTAATTTCCGCCAGTTGTGCTTCAGGTTC